ACTATCAGTGGACCCGGCGCTTTTGAACGCAGCCTGGCGCCAGGTTGCTAACCTGGCGCCAAACCCGCCGGCACTCACCCGGCACGCGCGGACGCAGTCACGGATGCCAACTGCTTCGCAGACGCAGGCCGAGCCGGCGCGGACAACCACAAGACCGCTCGCTCTTCGGGCCGTACACCTCAGGGGTCCTGCCCACCTGCTCGGCCTCGTGGGAGACGCCAGACGTTGGGACATGAGTTGCGCCACAGTTCCACCACATGTTGCGCCGTAGGCTGCGCCGTATAGGTGCACCATAGGTTGTACATTTACTTACTCCATCGGTCCACAGTTTGCGCCAGAAGTGGCCCTCAATAGCTGTACCAACAAGGGCGTGGCTGGCGCTAGAGCGGAAACATCGTAGCCAAGGATGGATGTGGCTGGCAATACGGCGAGAATGCCGTTCCCGGTTTTGGATGTAAGAACACCATTTCCAGTCCGGTTTGCGGCTGGCGCTCGAGCGGCAGCGCCGTAGACAATACCCCATGAGGGATGTGGCCGGCGCTGAGGCGGGAGCATCCCAAAGAAGGATGTGGCCAGTGCGCAGGCGACATCACTAAAACTGGACAGGGATGTGGCCAGCGCTCGGGCTATGGCACCATTCCCAATCATGGACGTGGCTGGCGCTCGCGCGGCAGCACTATCGGAGATTGGGGGGTGAAATCGCAGTGAACGGAGAGCCCCCCACCGAGAAATCGGTGTCGGTTTCGTGGTCGTGTCGTGCGTGCGGGCGAAGCGAAGCTGCGTGGGCGCGCGAGAGGAATGACCCCGCCGTCGCTAGGGCGATTCGGATGCAATGGACCACCCCTCCGCCCCTGGTGGGCGCGCGGTGGCCCGAAATCTGCCGCCGTGGCATCCTGTGGTCCCATTTGTGTCCCGTCGGTGTTCCGTCGGCGGTGGGCGGGCGGTGGTCGGGGGAGTCCCGCACTGGTATCGATAGTGAAGTCGAAAGTGAGATCGATTTTGTCATCGATAAAATGGGATGAATAGTAAGATCAAAAGTGAGATCGACAGTGAGGTTGTTTGTGACATTGGTTGTGAGATCATGCTGACGTCGATTGGGGAATTGATAGTTCGATCGATAGTGAAATCGACAGTGAGATCGAAAGCGAGATCGATAGTGAGAACGAGATTGACAGAACATCGCAGCTCAACATCGTCATCACGCGTCGTCGCTAACTCGAGAGCGTGTCCCCAGCATCGTAATCATCACACCCATCGCATTCGCCAGCAGTTGATTCTTTCCCACCAACCCACCCCAACCTCCTTATCATCCGAAGGGTGGCCAGCGCTGGAAGCGATGTGGTCAGCGCGCAGGCGACATCACTAACCCCAGACAGGGATGTGGCCAGCGCTCGGAGGAGACCAACATTGGGACATGGCTGGCGCTCAACCAGCAGCACCATGGCAAGTCAGGGGGTGTAGCCGGCGCCGAGGCGAGAGTACCGTTCCCAGGGAGGAGTGTGGCCCGCGCGCAGGCGACAGCACCAATCCCAGACAGTGCTGTGACAAGCGCTCGAGCGAGAGCATCATTTCCAATCTGGGGACGTGGCTGGCGCTCGAGCGGCTGGCCGGCGCTGGGGCGGGAGTACCGTTCCAATGAAGGATGTGGCCAGCGCGAAGGCGACATCACGAATTCCAGACAGGGATGTGGCCAGCAATCGGGCAAGAATACAATTCCTTCATGGACGTGGCTGGCGCTCGAACAGCAGCACCATAGCAAGTTTGGGATGCAGCCCGAACTGAGGCGACAGCACCGTTCCAAATAAAGTATGCTGCCAGCACGCAAGCAACATCACCAATCCCAGAGAGGGATGCGACCAGAGCTTGGGGGAGCACTAATCCCAATCACCGACGTGGCTGGCACTCGAGTGGCAGCACCATAGCCAGTCAGGCATGTGGCCGGCGCTGAGGCGAGAGTACCAATCCCAGACAGGGACGTGGCCAACGCTCGGGCGAGAGCGCGATATCCAATCAGAAGGCTGGCGCTCAAGCGGCAGAAACATGGCCAATCAGGGATGCGTCCACCGCTGAGGCGAAAACACCGCTCCCGGAAAAATAAGAAATACCCTAAAAATATACAACTAATATTTAAAAATAGTCAAAAAATCGTCCCCCGACTGTTTCTGTATTAACAAATTTTGAATATTCCTCCTGTAGAGGGACTGTGTGCTGAGAAACATTGTTTCACATGCGTGAGATATGGAGGACGGAGGAGGCGGAATCCTTGTCATCGGCGACCTCGCGCGTGGGCGGTGCCGACAAACTGTGTGTGATCGTTGGTGATTTCTGTGTTGTTCCGGCTGATTGTGCACTCGTTCTCAGGCCTCGACCAGGTGATGACGTCTTGAGCAGGTTGTATCCATATGGTGTTATGTAATTATCGTTGCGTCTTGGTTGGTGCAAGAGGTGGGTGTAGGGTGTAGTTCTGGTCTGCGCTGCCAAAAGAAGGTGTTGATGTCGTCACTCCCATCGCTTGTTCTGGCCCCCGTGTTGTAATCCACGCTGTCGAAGATTCGCATCTGGCCGCGAGTTCAGTGCACGCCATGTCACATCGTTGCGCTCGTGGTTGGCAGCCCTCGACGCCATGCGTAACCACCTTCATTTGCAAATCGACTTCCTATTTGCGATGCTCTGGTATGTCGTGAGCTGCTCTGCGCGCCGTGTGGGGCGCAGGAAGTAGGCGACCCAGGGCTCCATCGCGTCCTCGTTGTCGTGATGGTCGTCGCTCTCACTATGTCGGCATGCCGTTTCGGCTGCGTCGCGGGGTACCGACAAAGTTAAGGAACAGTTGAGGTAAACCGTTGTTGAGACAATGGCTGGAAACATTATGTATATAGATATACGGATTGGAAAAAAAGTCTGGTGCTGCGGCGGTCGTGCCGCGATCCATGACGCATCGCCTGCTGCTCGGGGTTGCTTGTTGGAGAATGCGTCGCCTCGGAAGTCAGATGATCATGCGAAGCATGCGTCGGTGTGTCACGCGCTGTCGAAAAGGCTATGTGAGCGTCCACGCTTCTGCGCCGTCTTGTGCTTTGGGGGCCACCGTGCTGCTGAAAAGCCACAGTCGGTGAGCGAGAGTGTTATGCTTGCTGGGCAACTCCTGCTTCCGAGAACGGAACGCAGACTGAACTGCTTTCATGTGGTGATGAATTCACGTGTCCATCAGATTGTCGAAGCTGATCACTTGACCGAAACACGTGAGACTGATGTTGTAAGGAAAGATCTCGATGTCAATGCTGTGGACACGTGCTGTTAGGGAGCTTGCCTTACCCTATGACGTTGTTCATGATGCTTGTCTTGCTTGGGTGTGAATCAAGCCCGTAGTGCTTTGATGCGTTCATGATGTCGTCGAGCATCGCACAGAGCTGCGGGAGAAGAGGATGAGGACGAGAAGGAGAAGGCAGAACAGGAAAAACACCAACTGGACAGTCCTTATCGAGCGAGGTTGATCACAAGATTTGGCTGCGGGAGTCTTGTACTGGTTCACGCACTACGTGGGTCATGCATTGCTGCTATGCTGGAAGCTATCTCTGCCACTCGATGCCCTGTGGGATTTGCGCAACGAGGCCGATTGCCACACATCGCCACACAGAGGTAGGAGGCGTGGGTGCCGGCGCAGCGGCGGGGATGCCACTCTGAGGTGAAAGTGCCGCTGCCACAGCGGCCATCTCGGCTGGACGCGTGGCCGGAGTGCGGTCGGACGGCTGAAATGTGGTCTGGCGCTCTGGCGGGGAAGCTTCACTTCGAGTTGGGCGCCCGAGTTATCCGGGGTAACTCGGGTCCGGGGTAACTCGGGCTTGGATTCCCGAAAATGGAACCCGATTTATCCCTGACCCGAGCTACCCCTGATAATTCGGGGCTCTGGACGCCCGAGTTATCCGGGGTAACTCGGGTCCGGGGTAACTCGGGTTTGGATTCCCGAAAAAGGAACCCGAGTTATCCCTGACCCGAGTTACCCCTGATGATTCGGGGCTCTGATCGAGGGCCTTCACGCCCCAAGCACTCACCGGAGCTGCCCGTCACCACGCTTCCCGCGGCGGGGGGTGCCACCGGTGCCCACCTGCAGCGGGCCCAGCGTCAGGTTCGGTGCCCAGCGTCAGGTTAGGGTGGGGGCCTTGTATAAAGGGAAACTGGGACACACACAAATAAATACACACAAATAAAAGGATTCCCCATATTTTCCTATATTTTGGGGGTTTTTGTCTTCCCCACCACTTCCCATATTTTCCCATATTTTCCTGGGGATCGACGATTAATTGTGTCTGTGTGTTTTTTCCCCTCCTGATTGTAGTAGGACGAGGCTGATGTCATGATGGGATTGGCTCAGGATATGTTTCAGGATTTCGAGACTATCTAGCCGCCCTCGTTGCTGCAGCCCGTGTGGAACTCATGAGCTCTTCACTCGGACGATATCCGATCACCGTACCGAGCCCCGAAACTTCAAGGGGCTCCTTGGCGTCGCCGGGCATCAACTGCGTCGGCGCGCGCCCACTTGCGAGCCCGATGAAGAAGCGCACGCCTCCCACTCGGACCAGAAGGGCCGACGAGAACACTCGGCGGCCAGTTCTGAGGCTGCCGATGAGAACCAACCGCGGTACGGTGCACAGTCTTTGCGCTCTCTAAGGAAAACAAAAACTATGCACCGCACCGCCAGGATACCTACATATGGCCAGGCCTCTCAGAGACATCCTTCTCGCCCTTCACCCGCTGAACCGCTGGGTCCCGCGAGGATTTCCAAGGGCACGGGCGCGGGGGCATGTCGGTCCACAGACCCTGCACCACTATCATGCGCAAGTCGGCAACTATGAAGAATGCACCAGGGAGGTGACCTTGGTGAGGTGCATGTAAATCGCCCGCGGACTCTTGCTCCTCTGACGCAGTGCAATGCAAGCATTGTTTGGTGGGGGCGAAGCATTCGCTGCGAATGGCCACCTCACGAACTGGGGCGGGACCACATCATCTCAAGCCTCCGAATCGCACCGCGTCGCTTATCCACCGACGATGCACTGACGGGGGCGGGAAGAAGAAGTTCGGGCCCCCGCTGGTACGACATTCTCGGCAGCGAGCCAGGGGGGGGAAAGGGAGAGACGCAGGCCTTCTCAGAAGGCGGCGGAGGCTTCTCGGAAACCCCCTGGCCATCTGAAAAGCCCTCCGGCCTTCTGAGAAGGCGTCTCTATCTTCGGGGAAGAAAGAATCAACAAACTTCTCAGAAGGCGGAAGGACTTCTGAGAAGCCCCGCCGCCTTCTGAGAAACTCCGCCCCCCTCACTGCATCCCTGACTCGCCGCCGACATTCGGGCGTGGACTACCTGGGCTCAGCGCAAGCCCGGCCCAGCCAAGACAAAAACAACTGCGCTACATTTCTTGGGGGTGCTTTGCAAACACGGCTCGGCCAACATGTGCCAGGGCACCTACAGAGCCGCCAGCAGCCCCCAAGTCCGGCTCAACCAAAAGCTGGCTTTGCGTGATGCCGCAGGATCGGGCGCTCTGGCCGAGCCCAGATTGCGCTGAACCCCGACACCTGCAAGCTGAGGTGCCTGCCACAGAGCCGACGCATGCGATCCGGGGCTCTTGTCTTGCTCTGCCCCCACTGCGGAGGCGGGGATAACAGCTCGACAGAAAACTAGGGCGAGACGCCGGCACGGACCAAGGCCACGCTGACGGCGATGCTGGTTAACGGCGATGTTGGGAATCTGGTCTCTGCGACGCCGAACTCGCGCAGAAAAGGATTGCAGGGAAACGCGAACAGCGCTTTCCCACCACGGGGCTTGCCACCTGCAGCACCGAACTCCACACCGCCGTGACCCGCCCCCACCCTGCAATACCGAAGCCACCCGCGCCTGCCACACCGGACCTCGCCCTCACCCACAACCCCCCTGCGCTTCCTGCGAACCACCCCCCTCTGGAATACCGGAACCTACACCCTGCGAAATGCTTAAGAAATCATGGGTTAAGAAATTCATAGTCTCAGAAATTGAATGTAACCCAGAACTTCTATCAAAATCTTGGGATTTACATTGAAAAATTAAGAATAATCGAGACTCTGGACGAAAACTTAGGTTTTCTTAAGCATCGCCTAAGGTGTACACCGCAGCTGCCTGCGTCGCCGCCAGCGTGTCTGCGGACGGGCGCGAGCGGCGGGGCATGGCACCGCCGGTCCTCCCACGGCCGGCGTCTTGACAGGGCACAGGGGGGAGAGAACCACGCGCCGCAGCGGGGCCGCCACCGCAGCCGCAGTAAAAAAAACAGCACGGGTCGCTGGCGCGGACGCGCGGCCACCTCCCACTCAGCAGGGGGGACGCGGGACCCGCGGGAGGCCGGGCCTTCTGAGAAGTGCTCCAGGCCTTCCCCGCAGGGCACAAGGACTTGTCAGAGGCGCGAGGGCTTCTGAGAAGCCCCGCCGCCTTCTGAGAAGGCCTCCTCCTTCTCACGTCCCCCCCCCTCGCTCGCCGCCGATTCTAGAGGAGGCAACTGTGGGGAGATTTTCGTGAGAACAGTCGAAGGCTACCCCCCCTTATCCTAGCATAGAGGAAAACAGGTCCCGAGGGAAGCGGGTCCTGGACCCGGGTGCCATCCCCCAGGACGAGCCTGTCACCCTGAGCCATCTTCTGACCGTCCCCGGGGCCCGTGGAGGGCTCCGAGAGCCCGAAAACAGCGAGAAAAGCCTCAGGACCCGTTCCTGACTACCTACCAGACCACCCCAACCCAACCAGAAGCCCCGAATTGGACTCGAATTTCGGGTGGGGGGGTACGGGTTCCATGTGTTTTTTCAACGTCCCCCGACCCCCCCCAATCAGAAATGGAGGGCAAATTGAAGCCTTCGGGTTGGGTTGGGGTGGTTTGGTGGGTGGTGAGTTTCCCCCAGGTCCTCAGGGGAGCCCAGGAATCGAGTCCACAAGTCGGATCGGCGATCGGCATGACTCGGATCGGCAGACATCGGCAGCCGAGTCGGGAAAAGTCGACTCGGCGGACGTCGGCAGGCTGGTAGGCCTCCCGTGAGAAATCGGAGCCCCAATCGGATTCCCAAGTCGAATCGGATCGGAATCGGAGTCGGAGACCACCGAAGTCGAATCGATTCGTATCGGAGGAATCGGAACCGAGCCCCCGGGCCCCGCCTCCCCCCACGGCGAGAGCTCCTGCGAGGGCCCCGCGGGGGCGACGAGCTCCCCGCGGGTCCCCCAGGCGCGCTCTGCGGCCCGTGGCCGCGGGGCGAGGCGCGCGCGAGCGCAGCCGAGCGCCGAGCGCGGGGCGGCCGTGCGCGGCGTTGCTCCACGAACGGAGGGGCGATGACTGGCGGCGCGCAGAGGCATACTGTATGTCCTCCTCAGAGGCGCGCGTCCGACCCGAACAGATGGTGCACCCCTCTCTTGTAGCGGATTGTCTCACGAGCGGCCAGAAAACGCCCGCCACGACGCGTCGACTGCAAGATTTCTCGGTGCGCGCGTCGCCCCTGGGGGGGGGAGCGACGCACACGTAGTATCAATACACCCTGCGAAATGCTTAAGAAATCATGGGTTAAGAATTTCACAGTCTCAGAACTTGAACAAAAATCCAACATTTCTATCAAAATCTTAAGATTTACATTGAAACGTTAAGAATAATCGAGACTCTGGCCGAAAACTTAAGTTTTCTTAAGCATCGCCCAAGGTGTATGCTGGGGTGCCGCCAGATGAAACGGGGGAGGGCTTGCACCCTCGGGGTCCCTCTCGGCCCCCTCTCCTCCGGGCGCCCTCCGGGCTCCCTGCACATGGGGGCCCGGAAGGGGCCTCTCGGGCACTCCTTCGCCCTTCGCCCGTTCCTGCGGCCCCCCCGCCCCCCTTTGCCGTCGCCCTCCGGGCTCCCTGCACTGGGGCCCGGAGGGGGCCTCTCGGGCACCCCTCCGGGCCCCTTTCCTGCGGCCCCCCCGCCCCCCCCTGTTCCGCCCGGTCGGCGACGGGGGCCCCGAGACCTCGAGGTGGTGCCAGCTCCTGGAGGCGCCTTCCGCCGGCATGCGCCAGCGGAGCCGCCCTCCGCCGAGGAAGGCATGCCAACTCTATAGACGGAGATCACACAGCATGAACAGAAACTGCTGGCGCTCCGCGCGGACTTCTGGCACCCGCGCTGGACCCGGAGCGCGCCGGGGCGGCGCCTCGAGCCGCTGCCGGGGGGGGCCCAGCGGGGATGCAAGAAATCCGCGCGGGGCGCCAGAAGTTGATGTTTCTGGCGTTGGTTTCTCCCTCGCACCTGCTTCGGCCCTCTAGGGCGAGGCCTTTTCCTAGGGGGCAAACAAACCTACCTCGCTTTTGACCACCCTCGCTTCCAAGAGATACCAAGCGATGCCAAACTACGGCCTGTACTGGTCAGGCCGCTTGACGAGGAGGCGCGTGGTATGACTTGGTTTTGCCTGGAAGCGAAAGCGGGCTAGGTAATTCACGCTCTCATGTCCCGGAGCGCCCCAGCCACCGCCCACCAGTAGCTGCACGGCAGGAGCAGCCAGCAGCCGAAGCATCTCAGCTCGGCGGCCCGCCCGGTTTCCGCAGAGCGGCGCTGGCCCCCCCCCCCTCCCTGGTGCTGAGTCGGGCCTGTCCCTCTACAGGGGGAATCTTCAAACATTGTCGAAAAGCGGCCCAGGGAAGATGTTGTCATTATTGGTGGGCATTTCCTGATTATTATTATTATTATGATTAGTATTAGTATTAGTATTATTATTAGTATTACTATTATTATTAATATTATTATTATTAATAGTATTCTTATTGTTATTATTATTATTAATAATATTATTATTCTTATGATTATTATTATTATTATCATTATCAGGATTATTATTAGTTTATTATTATCCAGATATTTCTACCTTTTCCTCCAAAAATCCGTCTGTAGGGGGACACGCCCGACCTAACCCTGGTGCGCGGACGCAGCGCGCCAGGGGCAGCGAGGGAGGCTCCCCGGAGGGGCGGGGGGGGGCCAAGGCGCCGATCCGAGACAGCGGCGCGGCGCTCCGAGGAGCGATGCGCCTGGGCAGGTTTGCTGTGTCCTCCTCCTCCTCCTCCTCCTCCTCCTCCTCCTCCTCCTCCTCCTCCTCCTCCTCCTCGGCTGCCGAAGGGCCCGAGCGGGGTCTACGCCAGGGCGGCCTCCAGCTCTCCCGCGGCCACCTGAGCATCGGTTGACCGATCCCTGTCCCCCCCGGCGTGGGCTTGACCCCACTGGCTGACGCGCCCCTCTGGATGGGGACATCCGTGCGGTTCCCTACGCTGGGCGCCCCGAAAATGGTGCGGAGCAAAGGGGTGCGATGCCCAACAGCAGATGTTGTCTAAAACAGGCAGCGGTCACTGGTGCGCAGACGGCCTTCTGTCCTAAATTGACACCGTACGCGGCGACACCAACAGCAAGGCCTGCTCAAAATGATAAGGAGATGCTGTCGGTCTTCGTGCCCGATCGTACTGGTGTTCGGGTCTCGCGCGGCCTATCCCCAACTGGGGGCGCGGGTGGGCGGTGGGGCTGCAATGCAGTGGCCCAGTGGGGATCAGGATCGGCCCTGGACGCTGCTGTTGGAATCATTGTCTGGGCGCTTGCGGGTCTCAGCAAGACGGCCGAACACGCTAAAACAGCACTTTTCGTTGTTTGTAACGCTTTCAACCTGCCCAGAGCCCAGGAAGCGCTCACAACAACGCCCAAGGCGTCTTCCAAAGTGAGCCCGGATGGGGGGGATCGGTGAACCAACCCTTGGGGCAACCAAGATGAACTGATACCGTTACTCCCTGGACCTCTCCCAGGGTGCGTTCCCAGAATTTCGAGGCGAACACAGCCGTGCGACGAGGGCCCCCCAGGATGCCCAAAAAGGCGAAATCGAAGGAAGGGCAGCGGTATCGTAATTCTGTAGGGGGGATTCAGAGACGGAAATCATGACCAAGACTGCACGCGGAATCCCACCAGCCCTTTAGGGCGTGAGTGGTTTAGAGAGCCCCCTCTGTCCAACCCCCTTCTTCCCCTTCGGAAGGGGTTTATCACTGTTCCCTATAATGAACACCCCCTCCCCCACACGACCGGCAGCCAACCTGGAACCATGTGCACACCATGAGGGCCCCCCCGCCATCCCTGTCTAACAACAAAACAACATGCACACTGCGGGGCCCACCCTGCCAACACCCTCCACTATCCCTGTCAAACAACAATACGAAGTGCACATTGCAGCAAAATCTGGACAGTGCGCTGGCGCCCTGTAAGCACGTTGTATTGTCTTTTGACAAGGATGGCGGGGCACCCCTAGTGAAGCCGCTTAGTGCAGGACCACCATCCATGTCAAAAACAATGCGAAGCGCACGTTGCGACAACGTCGTGGGTGTTGTGCTGGCCACCCGCGTTCACTTTGTATTGTTTTTCTAAACAGGGACGGCGGCGATGCCCGCATGACGATGCTTGCTGCGCGCAGGCCCAGAGCAGTGCTGACGCCCCCCACGTCCGCACCCAGACCCTGCGGACGTGGGGGCCTCACGTCTTTTAACAAAGATGGCACACTGACCGCATGTGGAGCCCGCGGCCGGCGTCGCGCACCTGGCGTGTGCGTTGGTTCCCAGCGGCTGTCCGTCCAGTGGCGACCCCTAGCTGTGCACGCGGATGCCACCCGCGTGGTGGGAGGGCGGGTGGGAGTGAGCCGGACAGCTCGAGTGCGGAGAGGGTGTCTTGACCCCTCCCGCTACCCCCTCCCCTTGGGCCTGGAGGGGGGCGCCGCGGGTCGTTGGAGCATCCAAAACGGCCTCGGCGAGGAAGCCCAAATCATTGGTTTTGCTCGGGTGTTGGGAGGGGCCCCAATTAACGCCGCGCTCCTTTTTGAGCCGTGGCCTCCTAGATGGCCTCAAGAGCGCTCCCAGGGCTCCCAAGAGCGCCTCAGGAGGACCCCAAGAGGCGCCCAGGAGGCCCCAAGAGGCGCCAAAGAGGCCTCCGAGCTGCTCCCAAGAGACCCCCGAAAAGCCCCAAGAGACTCCCCGAGACGCTCCAAGATGCCCTTGGGACGGCCAAGAGGCCCCCAAGACGCAAGAGAGGCCCAAGAGAGCCCCAAGGCGGCCCCAAGAGCGTCCAAAAGTGTCCCAAGAGCGCTCCAAGAGGGACCCTTCTTCTGTATACTGCCCACTTCCCTGATCGAGGCAAATGCTGGGCATCGTCTCTGGGTAGACGGTACTGGCTGCTTTAGGATGG